GTAAGGTAGATAGCTAGTGGGAAGCAGCTGCATAGCACAGGGAGATCAGCTCATTGCTTTGTGACCGCCTGGAGGGGTGGGATAGGGAGGGTGGGAGGGAGGGAGATGCAAGCAGGAAGAGATATGGGAACATGTATATGTATAACTGATTCACTTTGTTGTGAAGCAGAAACTAACACACCATTGTAAAGCAATTATACTCCAATAAAGATGTAAAAAAAAAAAAATTAAAAAAACCCAAAAAACTTAAAGACTACCAAAAAAAAAAAAAAGAGTGACATCTAGGGGCAAGTGCCTTTTAAATACGCTCATCGCCGCCTACTGTGCAGAGCTGTGCATGCAAAGAGGTTACTTGACTCCCCTGATTTCTTCAGCTCCATCCGACAACACACATTTGCTTAGTTCCTACTGTGTGCAAAGAACATCTTCAAAATGCTTGCTTGCTTCTACAAGGCCAAGTTTCACACTCCTTGCAAACTGTCCTATGTTGAATGTACACTATAGGTTTATCCTGAGTGTCCCATCGGCATGACTACTGCTCTGACTGGGGAAAAAAAGTAATGTTTATGTCACTAAGGAAATAGCCACACAAATATGACTAGGCACCAGGTGACACTTACAGGTCTGTATTATTTACCAAAACATTAGATTTCATAATTAGACTTACTTCCTCTCTGGATGTGTGGTATTTAACTGCATCTTGAAGGCTTATTAACTAACAGCCATGCAATGGCAGCTTGTCAATCTGTGCGTGAGTTACCACTTCATAAACTCACAGAATACGATGTATTGTGGGGAAGGAAGAAACCAGAGGGGCTCTCTAGTCTCATTCATCTCCTCCCCGGGGCAGGAATTGCTCCTCTACCGACTAGTGCCTACTGAGGGCATCCTAGGTCTCAGGACCCACGTGCGGGATGCAGGTCAGACATGGCCCTGCTGCCCAGAGCTGCCTCTGGGAAGGGAGAGACAAGCAGCAGATGGTGCCGAGAACTACCTGCTGTGATGGATGCTCCGAAGGCAACACGCGGCGCGCTGTGGCCAGGACAACATGAGGGGCCTCATCTAGAAGAGGGCTCTGAGGGATGACATTTGGGCAGAGGGCAGTGAAGGGCGTTCCAGGGAGGAGGCCCGGACTGGGGGCAGGTGCAGAGGAAGGCCGCCCTGACCAAGTGAGAGAAGGAAGGCTGGTGCCATGGGGAGAGGCTAGAGGGGGCAGGGGCTTGTAGGGTGAGCTTAGATGTTCAGATATGATTCAAAACGAGATAAGAAGCCAGTAAATGGTTTAAAGTAAGGGAGTAACATTGTGTCTGCTGTTTAAGTTCAGTTTTTAACCAAATTCTGATTAATTTGGTCTTTAAGGTGATAGTGGTTGAAATGGGATTAGAAGTCAGATTCAAACTCAAATTCAGAGTTTTTCCAATTATGATGTCCCCTCTACATTCCTTTCCTAATCAAAACAACAAGTGAGAAGTACAGAGTTTGAAACATTTAAAGCTACAGTGATACCACTGATGAAAGAGCTTATTTAGGTAAAAGACCAGATATTTACAGAATGAAGGAAAACCACTAAAATGTTGACAGTGTTATTTTTGGAAGTTGGGATAGTGGGTATTTTATATCCTGATGTTTTTAATACTTTGCTGGCTTTTTTTTTTTTAAGGAAGCATTTGCTACTTTTAAAATTGAGGAAAAAAACCCCACATTCTTACGTAAAAGTAAATGAGAAGCCAAATTTCATTTGCCAATGATATCAATGTATTTGCATGTGAGTGTGTTCTATAATTGTTCAGGGACATTTCAAATAAAGTGGTTCTAAAATACGTTACCAGTGGGAAAACCATTGTTTAATTTTTTTCTCTCTTTAGTAAGGGAGAGATTTTTTTCTATAGAGAATTGATTTATCAAAACCATCATCATGGCGATATGTCTGTTTAGCACCCTGTGTGCAGGATGCTGCTCCAAAGGCAAACAGATAATCTTGGGTTCAAATAGTAGGCTTTGCTTTTATGTCTTGTTGTCTTATTATGGCTTGTTTGTGAACTCTGCCCTCTTTAGAAATAGCTCATGAATCTTGTCCTAGGCTAAACGAGCTACCTTGGAAAGAAGAGGGAGGCAGGACAGAGTCACACTTTCCTGTTTCAGTTCCCCTGACGCTGTCCTCTTACCATGAGCTGGGTAGGTTTTTAAGTCTTTGTGGAGAAGGCTCCCCTCATGCTCAACAAAAAGTGGGCCATCTCTTCTCCACCCTTCCCAACAGGTGATTCAAATGTGCTGCGTGCATTCATGAACCTTATCAATGCAAAATTAGCGATTTGCTGGAAACGAGGATACCTTTCATTCAAGCAACATCTTCCAGCCTACCTAGAAATGGCAGCTTTGTTATACAAGATCCTGGGATGCTATTTAGAGAGTTGAGAGACGTGCTCCCTGACCTTCAAGGACTTCATCTCAAAAAGAGAGCACAAGACGAAGAAACAGAATATCTTCTGGAAGGCTTAGTAGTATGTAAAAAAAACACAAAAAACAAAAAACTGTCAGCAGATCTGAGTCAAAAGGTGAAAAAACTCGCTGCTCATCCTTGTCAAGCTAGAAACTTTAGAAATTCTGCAGATGTAGCATTGTACACATATATGTATATGTGTTCAGCCTTTTTCCTGATGTGACTGAGGAGGGTGGGAAAGGCTGGGAGACCAGCAGGTAAGGGGGCAGGTGGGGGAGAAAGAGCCTGAACCCCTCACTTGCTCTTCAACGGGAACAATGCTACTTCGCTGTGTTTTATGTATTACAGATTTGCTAGAGGTCTCATTTCATAGAGGGCTTCTCAACCTAAAGATTTTCAAAGTTTGAGGACCCCCTCTGATGGATATGACAATGGCAGCTCTGTTGATAGAGTTCCTGCTGTGGACTAGGCACTAGGCCAAGCTTTCTACATATTTCACATAAAAAATCCCTAAAAAAAACCCCACATGCGGTGGGCCTTAGAATTCCCACTGCACAGATGAGGAAACCAAGGTTCTGAAAGGATAAGCAATTTGCATCACATCCATAGCGATTAAGCAGCAGAGCCAGGATTCAAGCTCAAGCTGATCTGCTCTGAAGCCCATCCTTTCAACTACAGTGCCGGGCTGATCTGTGTTTCAGGCTAAAGTCCGTACATTCAGTCAAAGAGTATGCCAACACTGCAAAACATAGACATATATAAGTACAATAAAATTTACCAAGGTTTTTGGCAGTACACATGCTGTCTAGATGTTGCTTTAGTGAAAGAGGTTATAAATGCTAAAGAAACAAGCTTTGGTCACAAAAAGGATGGAGAAATGCTCCCAGACGGAGAGGACAGACTCCCTGCAAAGAGTTGTTGCTTTGGGCGGAAGCTGCCCAGATGGGGAGGCAACCTCTGGGGGGCCTCCCCAAACCCCAATCTTTTCATTAAAGAATATTTTGAAACTTAAAATGACAACAAAAAAGACTACAGGAGAAGTACTGCTGGGATTTTAGGAGTGACGTGGGTACTATAGGGTCTATGGGAATGTTGTCAACAACAGGACAGATGGGCAGTCGTTCTGGAGAAAACCACTGGCCAAAAAGACCTCGTGTCTGCCTGAATGTTTAAATGGCACTATTGCTGCTGTGTTTGTTCAAAGGAGATGAACCCCACCTCCATGAGAGGAGAATTTAGTATTTCCCACCTCCCCTTTAAATGGTAAAACTCTTCCAGGTTTGTGTGTGTGTGTGTGTGTGTGTGTGTGTGTGTATGTAACCATTTTTCTCTTCCAGGAAATTGTCACAATGTGTGACTTTTAGCCTTAAAGAAACACAGGACTGAAATGTGTCAAATCCCTGGAAATAGTCTGAAACCCAGTTGAGTTTACGCAGAAAAACACACTATAAATCCTAAGACCATCTGGCCACAGAGATCTCAGTTTCTCTGACAACCACCCCTGGAGCTGTGAGAGGGGAAGTCTGGTAACCGCCACATCGAAAATCAGCCAGGAGAACAAACAAGCACAGACAGGTTTCAAAACAATACATCCCAGTTCCTGTTCCACTGAAGGTCAAGGCGCATGTCATCTCTCAAGGTTAACGTGGTCCTCAAGTAGACACGCAGGAGGAAGAGTCAGTCCTGAAATGCTGGTACAAATCAAACCATGTTTCAGAGGCGCTAAGGGAGGGGGCTATTTAAAGGGAGCCTGAGACAAATGTGCACATAAAGTAATCACTTGTTGCCTCTACTGATCTGTTTTGTGTTCATATGGCTCTAAAATAGGTATATTGCAGTAGCAATGACGACTTTTCTGAGTTACGTTCATTCACAGTTATTAAATTTGCAACAGTGAACATTTTACTCCTTGGGTATTTGAAATACCATTTGATAGTCAAAAGTGAACGCAGACCAGGAAGGAATAGAAAGAGAAAGCCGAATGTGGACGCCCCCCACCCAGGGAGCTGGGAGACCCGTGGAGGAGCTGGTGGACAGGTGAGGTGGGACAAGCCAGGACTCTCAGGACAGCCTGTAGTTGAGCCGACAAGGTTTCAAATGAGAGAAGGGACCCTCCTCTACAAAAAGAGACAAGCAAGCATTTCCTGTGTTAGTAATTGATAAATACACACCTGGAGCAAAAATCAAGAGAAGCTCACCATCATTGGCGAGTCCTGAAAAATATATGTAAAATTTGCATCTTCTAGGCAACGTCTTGATTAGGTAAATATTCAAAGGCTAAACCTGCCTGCCAGGAGCTCTTCCTTAAAGCCCTGTCCTTCAGGGCTGTGTCATCCTGCTGTTCTATATTTGCCAGTCTCACTGATTATGGAATTCTTCTATTTGCTGTCTGGTTTTAGGAGAGGGGCTTACTGAGAAGCATCATTTTGCACTTGGGGAAGGAACAGAGGTGACTGGGGGGAGGGGGTGGGTCACACCCGAAGCAGGTGGGCAGAGGTGAGGGCTGCAGGCACCATCTGGTTGATGTTCCCAGTAGGTGGTCGAGAGGGAGGCCAATTACCTGAAATTTCTGGAAGTGTCGACTCGTCTTCTTTCCAGAAGTCCCCATCACAAACAGGAAGTCTGGAGTTAGCACAAATGGCACTCTCTCTTTATTAATGCCCAGGAAACTTTTGTAATTCCCAAGAATGTGCCCAAAGTCGATATGAAACAGATTTCCTTAAGAGAAGAAAATGTCTGACGTCATTATACTGGCTTCAGCACTTGCAAACAACACCCTGGTTTGTTCATTTCTTGAAATATTTTGAAGTTGCCTGAAAATGAGCTATCTTGGGTGAGAGAGCTATTTTTACTCTTTGCTTGTGATGTATTTTGTCTTAGCAGGTGTGTGTAGTAGTAGCCACAAAGCACTCTTCGAAACAAGCGTAGTTTTGATATCCTTCTGGTGTTCTTTCAATGACAGCCAAACACCATTAAAAGAATTCTTGTCTCAGAATTATTCTTACAAATATAAACCAAAACTCTCTGGCTTATATGTCATCATTATGCCCAAGACTCTCTTAGGCTCTTTCTGTAACTCAGGAGAGACTGATGTTTCGCTCTGTTTGGGGGAGGGGCAGTCACCTTTTATTTTTGAGTAGCAGGCTAGAAATAAATCATTTTGAATCTCCTTTGGGTCAATTTCTACCACTGTCACCATCACCACCACAATTCCCTTCTTCTCTTCTCATTTACAGAGCTCTCTATCATATGAATGATCCATAAATGCATTATCTCTTGATTCTCACAGGGAGTTAGCGATTTACCCCGATATGGTGTTTTTTCCAGACTCTACTCTTAAATTGGTCCAGATTTCTTAGAGGAAAATGTCATGGTATGCAGCCAATACTGACCACTGTCAGAATGGACAGTGACCCAGCGAGGAGCAGTAGGTGTGGAAGGCACGGCATTTCAGATTGAAGGGTATCAAGAAAAGGTGACTCTGTTTGTTGCTTCTCTGCACCATCTGACACTGTTGATCACGCCCACCTTCCTAGCTTTCTAGCTCCTGTCGGGCTTGTCCTTCTTAATTCTCCTTTGCTGCATCTTCTTCTGTTACTCACTCCTGGGTCCTCCGTAGGGTGGTCACAGCCTCTGTGTCCCTATACAATAATGACCTCTAGATCTTTGCTCCAACCTTGAGCTCCATTTAAAAATTACTCTGTGCTGGGGAAGGCAGGGATGGGGGGTTAGTGTTTAATGGGTACAGAGGTCCCATTGGGGAAGATGAAAAAGTTCTGAAGATGGATGGTGGTGATGGTTGTACAACAATGTGAGTGCAGTTAATGCCACTAGAGTACACACTTAAAACTGGTTAAAATGGTAAATTTTATGTTATGCATATTTTACCACAATCAAAAAACATTACTCTATAAAAAATAAACTCACCTGTCTCTGAGATCATAATATTGTCATTGTGTCTGTCACCTATTCCAAGAACAAAGGTTGCCACACAGTAGCCAGCACAGGAATAAACGAATCTCTCCACCGCTGCCTGAAACTAGTTAAAATGCGACCAAATATTAGTTGTGTCCCAGCTACAAAGAGCAGCGTGAATCTATTACAAAGAACTCCCAAAAAGACACTGTTCTGGGAATCATTTTCAGAGAGCAAGTTAGTGGTACCTGATATCATTAATGTTCTATCTATTAGGAGCCAACTTTCTCATTGCTCTACTTACATTTTAGGTGAAGATACAATGAATCACAGTAGCATGAGGAGGAAACGACAGTCAAAGGACAACAGTACTTTAATCAAAGGGTTCACTGCCTTTCCATGCATCGTTTGCCAACGCCAATACAGAACCTGTAATGATTCCTCCTTCGTTGGTGAACATATGTTTTGCTTGTGACCACTTAAAAGTACGCATGGGTTCACAAATCCACATTTTAACAGACTAATAAATGCTACTAATTATATTTCCTCCCCGAAAGACTGCTACCCACGCAAACGAGAAGTGCTAATCCTCTACAACAGAATTTTAACCAGCAGCTGAACAGCTTGTGAAGGACTCAGCGGATGTACTTCCGAGGAATGGAAGTGACATTTTGAGCATCCATAATTTACCATTTAAATTAGGGTGCAGTGGTAAATTACAAATTACTTTTTAGGGTCTGTAGTGTTTCCAGGTAGTAAAGAGTTTATCTGTGGTAACTAAATTTTTCTGCTGAACGACAGAAATAGATGGTCATAAAAAATGCTAACAAGTTATTTCACAGAACCAAATTTTATGCAAAGCAGGCCTGATAATCAAAGGAGAAGCAAATGCTCAGCGAGGTCTGAGTGAGCACCTCTGTTTTGCACAGATCTGCTGTGTCACCAGGGGAAATTGCTTAAACCCCAAGGAGCTCAGGAGGAAGGTGCTTCACCAGTGAGTCAGGAGGCATGGCACTGGTAGACCCCTTAAAAACATGTCATTATTCTGCTGTATCATGATAACTTGTCAGGAGCCTTCAGAGTGGGGAGAAGCAGAAGCCCACCTTTTCTTCAATAGGGCATTTCTCTTTGAGCCAGTGATTCAGCACTTCATCTTTAAAGGCGCCCGTGTTGCCCACTGTGCTTTGCTGAATTTTGGCGATCGTCGTGGCGTCTTTCACGATCTCGATCATTCCTGCGGGAAGATGCACAGAGTCTCATGTGAACTGGGGCTGAGTGCCTGACCCAGAGGAGGAATGGCTGTGTCTTTGTTGAGTGGAGGGCAGAGAGCTTTCTTAACCACAGGGTTATTTTCCACGTTCGCGCTGGTGGTTTTCTTAGGAGGAAGAGAAAGAAAAGGAGGCGGATAGGGAAGTTGTGTGGGACCTGCTTTCACTATCCCTGAATGAAAAGAGGAAAAGGTTGGTTTTGAATAAGCAAAAGCATTAATGTGCCGAACACATCCTTCTTCCCTTGGCAACCTTTGCTTTTTCCGTTTTTAAATTTCAGGGTCAAATGGGAATGATGTTCTCTACTTCTCAAATTGAAACTTGACTAAAAATCTGTTTGACTGAAATTAAAATGTGAAATGTCTGTAAAAGCACCTAAGAGGAGAGTATGTAATAGCTTTGATAATGTAAAGTCTGGGATGGTGAAACAAGTGACAGATCTTTCCATCTACTTTTAAATGTTATTTGTGAGAGAGAAGTTTACTGTGCAATGAAACGAGTGAAAATTTAGCGGTGGAGAAGTAAAGAGGAAGGAACAAGTTCTCACTAAAATCACCTCCATGTACAGTCAGTCACAAGGAGTTGAATCATGCATTCATATATTTTCAACATGTCCGTATTAAACTGAGTCACATGCACCAGCCTTGGAACATCTCCTTCCTTTTAATATGGATAATGATTGTAAATTTTCTGTTATTAAATGCCTACACTGAAGGGATGATGGCCGCTTGGCATGCGGGATCTTAGTTCCTCAACCAGGGATCGAACCTGTGGCCCCTGCAGTGGAAGTGCAGAGTCTTAACCACTGGACTGCCAGGGAAGTCCCACGGGATGGCGGTCTTTTAAAATGAGATGAGCAGTATATTCATCTTCTGAGGTCCCCACGTACCTATTTTGTCGCCAGTTGAAATGCAACCATATGGCAGGAGGCACAGATCCAAAGATTCAGTCTCCCAAATGGACTCCATGATTCGTAGAATCTGGGCATCAAAACACAAAAACGTTTCCATTATAAATATGTATTATTCTTCTCTGTTAAAAACAACAACAGTCTTCTCTGGTAACACAAAATATTGAAGTGAACATAAAATATGTAAGTAACAAGTGTACTTTTATTTATCAACCTGGCACTCTAATGTTTCCCTTCCTCGGGAGCCTGTTAATTTCGGTCCCTGAGAGGCACCTTGGGGAAGAGAATAGTTGGATTTCTCTGGGGGTAGGTTTTAGCCATGATTTATCTATTATTCAAATGTTCCTAGTTATGTGTATTTTACCACAATAGAAAAAGTTCCACTCTAACATCTTTACACATTTTTATCCATAAGGCACTCTTGGGCTACAACCAAGGCAACAGTAACGGCGATGATAATGATAGCTGACATTCACCGAGGACTGTTTTATGTTGATCCTTTTTATTAACCCTCTAGTGTGGGTATGATTACTTTTCCCATTCTTTTTCAGATTCTTTTCCATTATAGGTTATTACAAGATATTGAGTAGAATTCCCTGTGCTGTACAGTAGGTCCTTGTTGTTAATCTATTTTATATATAGCAGTGTGTATCTGTTAATCCCAAACTCCTCATTTATCCCCCCTTTGGTAACCGTAAGTTTGTTCTCTATGTCTGTGAGTCTATTTCTGTTTTGTAAATAAGTTCATTTGTATCATATTTTAGATTCCATGGTTTGCCTATTTTAAATAAATCACATGAAATATTAGAAATGGTGTTACTTCTACAGTATTAAACTAGGGTATAGAGAATATTACTTTACAAATCTGCAAAGCTAAAGTTTATGTTAGATAATATGAAAATGATCAGCACTGATACCTTCACCATCCATCTTCTGTTCTAGTAACCTGTTCACTCTTGTTACGTAACTGCATGAATTCTCCAGGCACCTACCTGTTCGCCTTCTCCCTCCTTCCTATCACATCATTCACTTCAGTTTGTGTATGTGGATGTGTACCAAAGGTGATGTATCTAAGGAGAGCATCTGAGAGTGTGTGGCTATGTCTGTGGATATGAATAAAGTGGATACTTGGGGGTAAAACAGGTTTCTATTCCATGTTGCCACACTAGGAATGCATTGTATAAGAAAGAGGTTAGGGGAGGGAAGTGTATCTGGCTATTTGGGAATGCTGGGTATGCATCTCCTCAGGAATGGACAGAACTGTGAGGCTCACTAGATTTCATACCTAATGGTCCACGGCTATATTCCCCTAGTGAAAACTCTATTATGTCACCTTTGATCACTGTTCATCATACAAAATAGGAGAATGGAACAGGGTCAGTAGAAGGCATTTCTTTAGATTTAGTACAGAATTCTTGTTTCAGATAGCTGAAAAAAAAATTCCTTAACAGCAGCACACCTGTAAAATCAGCATGTCCTGGCGCAGATCGTCGCCGTGTTTAAAGATAATTCCAATTGTTTCATTTGACAGAGCTGTAGGGTCGGCACATTTAAACTCAAGCCACAGGGGCTTTTTCTTGGAGGCCATCACTTTACATTTTTCAATCTGTAAGAAGACAGCCACATGTTTCCCACACACAACTGAAGACACATTGTGGAGATGCACACCCTCTTGCAAAGCATCTCTGTAAACATCTAGGACAAAGTCCCAGTTGGACAAGGATTTTCAATGATTTGGGTAAAAATGCAGAAGGCATTTTCACCAAATCCAAAAATGCTAGTGAGAGCAAGTTACAACACTGAAACCAGTGGTTCTCAAAGTGTGTTGCAAGGAACGCTAAGCACCTGTGGAGGTGCCTAAGAGGTGTGGCATAGCCCATCCTCTGTATACCCCCCTCCCGTAGGACTCTCGTCCCCTCTAACAAAGAGCAATTGTGCTGTTATTTGTCTATACATATCTGGCCTCCCTCTAAGAATTAGTTTGAAAAAAAAAGAGTTCTATTGCTACCATAGTGTCTAAAAATGGTTGTCAAAAATCAGATGCAGTCTAACTCCAGGCCAAATGTAACAAGATGAAATTTAACAGCAATAGAGGAGACTCTAGCACTCCGGCACAATGCCTGTCCCCTCCCCCAAACCCCCATACGTCGAAATAAATTCAAGGTGGGAGAAAGGTGGTTTAGCAGCCACTCATTCAAAAAGAGAAAATCTTAGGAGTTTTAGCCAAAAGTGAATTCACCAAGGATCAAAAATGTGACGTGGTCTTTAAAAAATAAAGCAAACACAATTTGAAGCTGTATTAATATATCATTATTCCTACCAATTTCTAACTTCAAAAGGACAGTGGATAGTGTGTGCTTTTGCTAGAGAGCGAGTTTACTGCTAATTGTATATAAAATTAAACATGGATCAGAGACTTAAATGTGAGATTAAAACTTCTAGGAAAAAATATTTGCTGCGTTGGATTAGGCAGTGTTTCTCAACTTTGGCACTGCTGACATTTGGGGCTGGATAATTTTTTGTTGCAGCGGGGACTGTCCTGTGTATCGTAGGATATTTAGCAGCATCCCTGGTCTCTACCCACTGGATGCTAGTAGCATTCTCCTAGTTGTAACAATCAAAAATATCTCTCGGGCTTCCCTGTTGGCGCAGTGGTTGAGAGGCCGCCTGCCGATGCAGGGGACACAGGTTCGTGCCCCGGTCCGGGAGGATCCCACATGCCGCGGAGCGGCTGGGCCCGTGAGCCATGGCCGCTGAGCCTGCGCGTCCGGAGCCTGTGCTCCGCAACGGGAGAGGCCGCAACGGTGAGAGGCCCGCGTACCACAAAAAACAAAAACAAAAACAAAAAATGTCTCTGGACGTTACCAAATACCCCTTGGTGGAGGAGGTGGAGGTTCACCCCTGGTTACTGGATGAAGCAAATATTTCTTAGGCCACGAAATTCATGAAGTATAAAAGAAAAAGTGATAAATTGGACTTAATCAGAATTAAAACCTTCTGCCACAGACTGGGAGAAAATATTTGTAAACTATATACCTGATAAAGGATTTGTATCCAGAATATATAAATAACTCATAAATAAGAAGAAGGTGGTAACCTAAATTAAAAGTGAATGGAAGATATGAATAGAAACTTCTCAAAAGAAGATGGAAACTTATCAAAAGCACATGAAAAGATGCTCAGCATCACTAGGGAAACGCAAATAAAAACAACAGTGAAGTACCACTTCATACCCATTTGAATGGCTAAAATTAAGAAGACTGATGATAACAAGTGTTCTCTAGGATGTGGAACAATCAGAACTTGCACACATGGTGGTGGGAATATAAAATGGCACGGTTGCCATTATAAAATGGAAAACCAGTTTGGCAGTATCTTATAAACACACACGTCCCATCTGACCCAACTATCTCACTGTTAAATATTTACTCAAAAGGTGAATGGAAAACAAATTGTGGTATAACCATATAAGGGAATATTACTCAGTCATAAAAAGGGACAGATCACCGAGACACACAGCAACATGGATGGATCTTCAGAGCATTATGCTAAGTAAAAGTATCCATATACAAAAACTACATACTGTATGATTCCACTTCATGACATTCTAGAAAGGGCAAAATTACACGATAGAAGACAGATCTGTCATCCGGGATGGAGGATGGAAGGAGGAAAGGACTAACTGCAAAGGGATATGAAAGAATTTTTTCTATAAATTTCTATGGAAATATTCTATATCTTGATTGTGGTGATGGTTATATGGTTGTATACGTTTGGCAAAACTCCTTGAACTGTACACTTGCAATGAATACATTTTATTGTATACAAATGGTTTCTCAAGAAAGTTGATTTAAAACAAAATGGATGGAAGATTGCCTGGTGTTGAGGTTTTTAGTATCTAGCGATTAGGGAAGGGCTTGATGGAAGCCCATCTGGGGACTTTCCACCTTCCCTGTCTCTCTATAAACGTCAGCTTTTATCCACTAGGCCCAGTAAAGCAGGCAGAGCCATCATCAAGACATAAAGACCAGGGAGAGACATCAACGTGATACCTACCACCAGGGCTCCTGCTTTCAGTCCAGGGTCATACGGAACTCTGAAGCTTTGGGGGAGATTCAAATTCTGTAGGATTTCAAGCTTTTGCTTAAGTTGGGAAATAACTGTAATTGTCAAACGCACACAAGAGTTACATGAGCTCAAGAAGTCACCAATATCATCTCTAACATTTCCTGAGGCCTCAGGTATTGACAACATTCTATATATTTGGTAGGGTGAGGAACAGAAGAAGAGGGGGTAGGTTTCTGTCTTTGAGGAACTAACCATTGAGGGTGGCAGGATAAGTCAGGCTTCCTGGGAGCAACATAGCCACGTACACACATTACAACAGGGGACAGAAATATCTGAATATATATGGGATACCCAGACATTCAGAGGGAGGAGGATGCTTTATGGATAATGGTAAGGAATTACTGTAGTTTTCCTTCCAACGTGTGAAGCTTTAAACTGCCATCTGATTTGGGAAACAGGTATTGGAAGACCATATTAAATGGAATTCGGTTAGGGTTTGGGAAATTCTTTTCAGAAGAGGAAGTTAGGTTGTGTGGAGGCAATATGATAGTCTCAAAACTGTGAAGGCAAAATACATAAATTAGAAATTACTGCCTATTCCCAATAAAGTTGTTAAAAAAAAAATTACTGCCTGGGTACCAGACAGACTGGAGGCTGGTACAAATGTTGCTCTTTCTTTCTTACAATAAAAATAAAAGCAAGATCATTATTACCATTATTATTTTTAGAAGAGACCATTATTGGTTTATTGGAAAAGATTCAAAGGCAAAAATGGCAAGTCAAAATATTCAGAAGTTTAAAATACTCGCTGAGTATGTTTGTGAGTGTCCATTATGAGCCATAGTGGTGGATCGAGATATACAAACGTGAATAAGAGATAATTCCTAGCTTCAAGGCTCATACAGTTTAATAGACCAGAAAGATGTATTAATGGCTTTAATTTAATGTAGTAACAACCAAAACCTATGGGAATACAGAAAAAGAGTGATTAACTTTCCTAAAGCAGGGGCTGAGGGACACGATTTCTTAGGGATAAGAAGACAACAGTGGAACACAGAGGAGGTGATATATATGTTTTTATAGGAAGTACATATATAAAAATATATATATGTACATATAGCTATATATGATGTATATGCATACATATACACAAGAAATTTTAAATAACTTCTCAATAATTCATTACTTTAAAAGACTGAGGACTTGAAAATTAGATGCATGTATTGAAAGATGGGGAAGAAAGGATATTTGGAAATAACTAATCTTTTTTGTGTGTGTGCATAGTTGCTCTTAAAAACTACATCTTACATCTGCATAATGCTGTTTTAAGTTTTCAAAGAGTTTAACATCTATTATCATACATTCATCATTAAAATATATATGTAGTTTTAAAAAATATTAACTTGTAAAGGGGGAACTTTAAATTTGCTTACTCCGTGAAGACAGAAGATTAAAAAATGTATTCTTGGCTACCTTGAGGAAGGTGCGACTTGCGTTCCAGCAGGAAGAAGGATCACAGGAACGATGGCATTTGGAGACAAAGGCATTTGGAAAGAGAATCAAGAGAACAGAGCCACCGTACCTTGGGAACTGACGTCATACTTTTCTGCAGAGAGCGATTTGATATCCATGGTCACCTTTTGTAACATGTCAATTACTTGGACTTGCTGGGTGAAGTCGTGTAGCATGGCCGTGCCACAGCCCCTCAGGTAGGCTTCCAGGATCACTGCAAACCTCTGCTGATAGTGTCTGGACTGGGCGATCTCACTTCTCAAGAACCAAAATAAGAAGTGACCAATTCTTTTGTTCTGAGGGTGAAAACAAGAAGGTTGCCATTATTATGACTAACGCTCTAGATCTATCAGCCAATTCTCTGTAACTTTTTAAATGTCACGCTCTTATCAAAATGGAAGTACTTACTCTTAAACCACGCTTCAGCAGAAATCTGGCAAGGGCACTGTCATGGTATGGTTCAAATTTCACAGCCTAAAGGAAGAACACATTGGCATTTGTGGGATTGCATCCTCCATTGATTAATCGGGAAACAGGAAAGGGAGAAAAACTGGTGCTCTGCCTTAGTGGGTGTGTATGGATAGGGCGATGAGAATCTGAGCAGTCACTTAAGTTCAATCCTTTCTTTTCAAGGACAGTTTGGGCCAGGGTGAACCACTTGCGGAAGGACCAGGATTAGAAGCCAGAACTCCTGACTCACAATCACGTGCTTTTGATGACTTCAGAGATGAAGAGGTGAGGGCTTTTGTTCCCATGAAGGCTTACCTGATTTGTTGGAAAGATAGAAGGGAAAGATGGAGATGGCTATAACACATCTATAAAGGTGGAAGGGAAGAAAGGTTGTTGGAAAGAAAATAGACAGTGGGGATATTGTACGTGCAGGGAGAGAAATGTTTGTTAGATGTGGAGATCCTAAAACTCCTATAGCTTCTCTTCTGCTCAAGTTGTGTGGTTGGCCTCTCACTGGCAAGTCACTGTGCTGCCTCCCAGGTTCTTACTGCAACTGGTCATTACTCCCTGCCATGATGCAGTGCATACAGGGCTATTTGTCTGAAAATCTCTTGTTTTATCTGGTTCCTCAGGTTCAGCAGTGTTTAGTAGTTTTCACATCACTTGGCTAATAACAGAGATATTCACATAGGTGGCAGCTCTGTGACTGAGGAAAAAGAACCAATGACGAGTGAAAAATAGGGGCTGGACCGAAAACAGGGCCCAGGTGGGTGGCTACCCCAAGCTCACCCCCCACCCCCTGCCCCTGCCCGCTGCAGCCTAGCCAATTAAAAATAAAACATAAAAAATAATTAAATTCTGGTGGGTGCATGGATATTTGTTACCCCATTCTCTACTTTTCTGCAAGTCTGCAATAGTTCATCATTTTAAAAGCAGTAAGACTAACAAAAATTGATTATTAGACATGCACATATAAAATTATAGAGTAGATGTCATGTATAAGCATAAAGAGAGGTTTAAAATTAAATATCTCAGAGTATCTCCTTTATAAATAGATACGGTCTATCCTTTTTTCCTAAGAAATAAGAGATATTCCCATTCCACTTTATGTTTTAGGGCCTGGGGGCTTTTGGGTATGATCTCCAATCCTTACTCTGGTTTTTCAGTTTGGAAATGAGCAGAGCAATACTAACTGGATAATATTTCAGTTATCCCCACGCTTTCAAAGGTGAGGTGTGCTCTTATTGGTGCCACGGTAGCTGCAGCTAAGATCTTAATTCTGAGACTGTGGCTATTTAGCCACCAGCAGTCACTTCAGAAATGTTAAGTTTCTAACCCAAACGTGAGTCTTTCTGACATTCTTTGTGTTTCACTTCTGTAAAGATGATGAAGATCTCAACCAGGAGACCATTTTAATTAGGACTGAATGAGTCATTTGGCCGTATCTGCAGTGTCTCAAATAGTTTTACAAATGACTACTTCTTCAAATTTAGGACCACAGATTCAATGTTAATATTACTTATTGACCTCTTTCATTTAAACATTTCCAAGAAGAACACTATTCATTTTCCAACTCTGCAAAGTTTACTTGTGAAAATGACAATGGAAAATAATTCACGATCGCCTTGGGACTTGGAACAGATCTCATGCAAATTTGTTTTATGTTCTTTTTGTCATGGAGAGCTAGAAAACTGAGGAGACTTTGATTTTTCTAAAATTTTCAGTAGCGTTTATGCCAGCCTCTGAACTCATGGAAGATAAAAATATCGATTATATTTGATAGATGAAAGCAAAGGCCAAATATAATGTTTCAAGTATCTGCCTAATGGGAAGGTGAAGATTCAAAGTTGAGAGTATCCAAAATTCGCATCAGAAAACTTCAGAAACTTCCTATAAATATAGATAATGATTAGACAGTTTGGTGTCCACCAGTCAGCCTGGCTAATCCAAACCATCTCAGATCAAACATCACCTACTCAGAACTGTCCCTGGCTTCCTCAGTCTCAAGCAAGTGTCCCCAGAACCCCTGACTCTTTTCTCATAACACTCTGCAGCTTTTCCCCAAAGTGTCTGTCACAACATGTTGCTTAATATCTGCCTGTATGGGTACTCATTTGGTGCCAGTCTTCGTGCACCACAGGCTACACTAGGGCAGAGTCCAGCCCTGCTTTGATCACTGCTCTATATCCAGCAACCAGAAGTGAGGAAGCATTCAGTCTGTGCTGTTGAATTAATTAATGAATGAACACTTCTGCTCTCTCAAATTGAATTCCCTTCCAAGTCCTTTCCTTCCTCTTCCTTGTCAAGCAGCACAATATAATTTGAGAATGGCTATCGTGAGCAAGAGAACTCTTCCTCCTTTCTTTAACATCCTAAGGAAACCCTTGATTTAGTCGAGGGTTTAGCAAACGATTTAGCCTCTCTGGACCCCAGGGAAAGGCATGTGGAGAGCAGTGGACACACAGTACCAGACCTATCTAAAGAGAGGGGCTTTCAAGGTCCCATGCGGATATGAGATGTTACTCTATGAATTGTGACAAATACAATCAGAGAGTATGACGTTTTTCCTCTAGGACACACTATCCTGACACTGCTGGGTTGATGCCAGATATTGGGGCGCAGTGAAAAGGGCAGGGCCAGGAGTCAGACCTCCTGGGTTTGAATTTGACTTTCAAAGTATGTGACCTTGGGCACATTACTTAGCCTCTCTTTGCCTCAGTTTCCTGATATATAAAATGCAAATATTAACTTGACCTCTATCGTCGTTGTTGGGAGTGTTAAATGTGATAATACACGAAAAGCATGTAGATCACCTGCAGCCTTGGCACAAGGGAGCATTCGATAAGTCAAGTCTATCATTGATACAGTAAATGAGAACAAAGTATTCCCACAGGAGCGGTTCTCCTAAAAAGCAGAAATATTAATGTCATCAAAATGCTTGTCAACAAGCCCTCAAAGACAGTAAAAAAGTAAGTGGAACAGCTTACTACTTTTTGAGGTAGTTTCATTAGATCTCCTTTGACTGATCGTGACTCTCTGGACAAGGGGCATTGGAAGACAGCTGAATGGGGCACCTGTGCATATGCAGATAAATCCCTTGAGATGAGTGCATCCCCCTACCTGGACCAGCTGCAGCAGGTAATGTAGCACGTCATCGTCTTCCAAGCTCTCCAGTTTCTGAACGGCAATGGCTCTTACGTTTTCATCCGAAAAGCTGCAGTCCAGGAGTTGCATTGTTAATCCAACATCCAAAGCACTTTGATCCCAGACCTCCCTTCTGGCTAACAGTTGATATGTTTTGGCCACAATTTCTTGCTGTCCCCATTTCACTGAGCTAAAGAGCTTAGGATACGCTTTGGGATCCTTCAGACTTTCATATCTGAAATGCCAGAGCAACTCTTTGTCTTCGGCTGTGAGAGGGTTAAGTGGATCGGTGGCTATGATCGCCTCTAGTTGCTTCCGAAGCTGATTGGGCATTTCTGCTCGAACCCGGTCCCCTTCCGGGTCAGGGGTGGGCCGATGCTTAGGCAAGGCTATGGGGTGACAGTAATTGTCCAGAAGAATGGAGATGGACATTGAGTTCTCCTTGTCCGGGTTGGTGGCAGACGTGAGCTTGTCAGCATTGATGCTGCCATGGTCTTCCGCCTTCCCGGATAACTGCCACATGTGGAGCACGTACTCCCCGTGGCGCAGGAGGAACCGGTGGTCTATGAGCAGCAGGTTCACGTAATACAGAAGCTGAGCTTTGCCCCTGGACTCGGGACTGGGAGTCTCCGCAGAGGCCTTACCAGACAGAGCTGGAGCTTTGCCGCAGTAGATCTGGAGGTTCAGCAGAGCCCCTTTGGGTAAGTCTTTGATCTTGATACTGAACTCAAGCCACACATTCCACAGCACCTCCTCCGTGAAGGGTTTGGGGCTGGTTCTCCTTTGGCAGAGGACTTGCTGCCCATACTGGATGTTTGCCTCCACAAAAACCGTGAGGTCCGCGTTCCGGGGCAGGACAGGGATATCGATGCCTCTGATTTTTACCCTGAACTTGCGGTCACAGTCCCACAGGGACACGGTGAACACGCTCTCGTGGTCCTTCCCATGGATGGTCAGCTGCTCGTGGTAGCCGGTGACTCCCGTGCAGTCGTCCACCAGCGGCCACTCTTCCTTCCTCACCTCGTCCAAGGCTGGGTCCGGCGGAGTGTCAAGCACCAGGTGAATCTCTTCCCCGTTCTTGAGGCACTGCCTCACCCACTGGAAGTTTCTGATGGGCGTCTCACCCACCAGGTACTCATCCCGGCCACAGACGCGCAGCACAAAGTCCTGTTCGTTCTGGCTTTCAGGGATATCCATCAGGGACTTCTTCTTGGCCATCTTGGTAAAGAAGCTCTGGAGGATGGTGCCCGGGGTGTCATCGGCTGAGACCTTGATGGTCTGGCTGGTGGTGCTGCGATGAATGACAATGAAGATGTAGTTGTTGGTGATCTTCTTCAGCAGGTACTCGGGGAGGGGCTTGGACGTCACCCAGGGGTGCATGGCGTAGAGCTTGGTGTCGCGGCCGGCCACCTCGGCCATGCGCGGGGTCACCAGGCGGCGGCGCGTGAACTCCAGCTCGTCGTCGTGCACGTTGCTGACGTCGGTGACGTCGTAGCCAATGAGGGCCGTGAGCTGGCGCTGGAAGGCCAGCGTCTCCTCCGAGGGCGCGAGCCTCTGCACCACGTGGATCTGCCCGGGGCTCCGGTGCAGCACCTTCCAGTAGCGCAGGCAGTCCAGGGTCTGCACCACCTGGTACTTGTCGTAGATCTCGTACCACTGCCCCTTCTTCTGGTAGAGCAGGAGGAAGTGGTCGGGGCTGAGCCGGTGGTAGAAGTCGGCGGCCACGCTGGTCTCCAGCGCGTGCAGCCACACCTGGGCCTTCATCTGCTCCACGTTGCCGTGGCCAGCCACGTGCAGCAGCGCCGTTTCGGGGGTCTTGGTGTTGCGCTGGCTGGTGGGCAGCACAAACTCAATGGGGATGAGCTCCATGGAGGACAGGCTGGCCGCCGCGCTGCGCGGCTTCATCCTCCGGCGCCTGCGGCGGTTGTCCTCTCTCAGCACCACGTGCTGTTCATGGTTCTCCAGCTCCATGCCCTCTGCGACCTGGGAGCAGAGAAACAGAGGGCTCGGTCACAGGGCAGGCACTTGCCCTTTATGGTTTCCTGCGAGCTGGCAGAAGGAGAAGGTGTAGACGAATGACAAGGATGTGCGCACGAGGATACCGGGGCTTTGGAGTCGGGGCCCAGGAATCCTGGCCCCCAACGCTTAGAATCTGGGGGATGAGCCCTTTAAATAATCTCTGAGCCTGTTTCCTATCTGTCAAATGGGGTTAGCAGTACCTCAGAGGGGTAAGTAAGGTGACAGTTAAATAAGGTAATATACTTGTTGAGTATGGGCCATGGGTAGATGGGGATTCATTAATCATTCTCTCTGCTTTCATTTCGTTTGAAACTTGAATTTTAAAAGAGAGAGGTAAAGCACTGATCTAGCACTGTGTCTGACCTACTGTAATAGCTCTAAGTGGTAATTGTTGTTAAGCATACTGAATTGCATGGATGAGTCAGATTATCCAGTTGAAGGATCATGTCCTGGTTTATAAGGTGCAATGTGAGGTGCTGAAAACCCCCCTCTGAAAAGAGGCCTTTGACTTATTTCCTCTTCGTTTAGTCTCATTTGTCTCCTAGGGGACCCAGACACCTTACCCAACTGGCCTCACAGTCCCTTTTCAAACTTTCTGATCAGGTATCTGCTCCCTAGTCAACTTCCTGTTTTTGTTTTCTTTTCATTTTTTTCTTTCTTGTTAGGAGAGGTAGTCATTTCATTGATAAAACTCAGAAAGATCAGAATTGGTGAAGCTGCACTCAAGAACATTTGCAGGTATTTAAAACTGTGAATCATGAAATGTGTAAGCATCGTGGCTGTCACTGCTCCGTTAGGGCAGTATCTTAGGGGAGTCCCCAGGGCTGTACTCTCCAAATATGAACATTCAGGTAATTTTAACTTTGTACCAGTTCATCCCATCTGCCTCTGGAGAAGCCACAGGATGGAAGGAAGGACCTGCTTTTGGGCCCCAATCGATTATTTAACTTCTTTTTGCTCTAACATTTTCATCTCTATAACGAGAATTCACCAATTTATTCTCAACCATTTATCCACTGTACCTTCACAAAGCATTTAAGTATAAATGTGACTTATTGCAGTAAGAAACTCTTCAAATAATGATTGAAATGCTAAACATCTTAAAATTGAGATATGGATAAGGTATTTTGACTTCACTATTTAGTATCCTTTAATATTTTGTAAGATGTTCTAAATAAGAATCAACTAGTGAAACAAAAATTAATGTTTCAGAAAATATTATTTACTTCTTAAAGGACTAAAGTTAGTGACACTCTTAAGTACTTATTTCCTTAAGAAATAGTGGAGCATTTGACACATACCAGAAAGGAGAGTTTGATTAAAGGGTAAGAAAGGCAGGTTTCATTAGATCCAAACTTCTGTACTCGGCTTAAACTTACTTTTAAAGTCAGTAGTCCCTCTCTTAAAATATTATGAAGTTACACTTAGTAAATACATGAAATCAACTGTCCCAAAGGACTGGCTCTTACAGCTTAAGACCTTCACTATTTGCTCTTTTGCTACTTTACAGAATAACAAAGAAGAGAACTGTAAGTTATGTGAATATTGGCACTAACTTGAAATAAAATAGGTCCAAATTTAGGCAACATGCAAATACACAGCAATCACTTCTGCCTCCATGACATCAAATAGACTTACAAGATACGAGGTGCAGAAGAAAACTGGCTGACTCAATACTCACTGCTTTCCTTCATGGTTGAGGCTGTGAAGCTTTCTCCTTTTACGAGAAGATGTTAGAAACACTGTTCAGTACACTAATCGCGAAGAGTGCACTTGTAAGAACGTGAAGGCTGCTGACACAGCTCCCCGTGCCCTCCCTCTTCCTCCCAAACAAAAACAAAAAAGGACCGATGCACCTGCAAAGCTATTGCCGGAACCTTGTGGATATCCACACACAAGGGTTGGACTAGACAATGAAACAGACATTCAGTGGCAGTATCATCAGATGAACGACAACAGTTCCAGATACAAATCTTCTGGCTGAGAAGGAAGTGTCACTATGCCGAGTCAGACCCAACAAAGGGCAAAAAATAGAAGGAAGCAATACCTGATAAAGCAGCGGAGGTGATGATGTTGAAGGATCATTTGTTTAATTTCTGAAAACAAAACAAATTCAAACCTACCCAGTGTGCTTCTAAACTCTTCCGCTTTTCTGGGTCTCCCTTCATATCCAGATGCAGAGGAAGTGTTGCAGTTACCAGGAAGGAAGTTTTAACCAAGTTGATTATACGTGTGATTGCTCATTTAAAAAGTGTCAGAAATGCATTTCCTGTTAAAGCACACACAGCCCAGCACGAACGTGAGCTAAGTTGACTATATATTTTTTACTCTTCGAACTAATTTTGTAAAAAGTGTGAGAGTGGAAATGAATTAAAGTGATGTAGAGCTAAATCAAAAATACATTCATGAGACTCAAACACACAAAATGTCTTTCTGGCTGGTTCACAGTAGAAGGAAAGGCCTCATAGCCACAATATTAGAGAAACAGCCCGGTGGGAAGATTTTTACTTATATTTTTATTTTTTTAAAGCATCTTTATTGGAGTATAGTTGCTTTACAATGTTGTGTTAGTCTCTGCTGTATAACAAAGTCAATCAGCTGTATGCATACGTATATCCCCATATCCCCTCCCTCTTGCATCTCCTTCCCCACCCTCCCTAATCCACGCCTCTAGGCGCTCACAAAGCACCGAGCTGATTCCCCATGTGATGCAGCTGCTTCCCACTAGCTATCTATTTTACATTTGGTAGTGTGTATATGTCCATGACACTCTCTCACTTCATCCCAGCTTACCCTTCCCCACCCCATGACCTCAAGTCCATTCTCTACGTCTGCGTCTTTATTCCTGTCCTGCCCCAGGTTCATCAAAACCTTTTTTTTTTTTTTTCACATTCCATATATGTGTTAGTGTACGGTATTTCTTTTTCTCTTTCTGACTTACTTCACTCTGTATGACAGACTCTAGGTCCATCCACCTCACCACAAATAACTCAATTTCGTTTCTTTTTATGGCTGAGTAATATTCCATTGTATATATGTGCCACATCTTCTTTAGCCATTCATCTGTCGATGGACACTTAGGTTGCTTCCATGTCCTGGCTATTGTAAATAGAGCTGCAATGAACATTGTGGTACATGACTCTTTTTGAATTATGGTTTTCTCAGGATATATGCCCAGTAGTGGGATTGCTGGGTCTTATTTTTAGTCTTTTAAGGACCCTCCATACTGTTCTCCGTAGTGGCTGTGTCAATTTACCTTCCCACCAACAGTGCAAGAGGGTTCCCTTTTCCCCACACCCTCTCCAGCATTTATTGTTTCTAGATTTTTTAATGATGGCCATTCTGACTGGTGTGAGGTGATACCTCATGGTAGTTTTGATTTGCATTTCTCTAACGATTAGTGATGTTGAGCATCCTTTCATGTGTTTGTTGGCAGCCTGTATATCTTATTGGAGAAATGTCTATTTAGGTCTTCTGCCCAAATTTGTATTGGTTTGTTTGTTTGTTTGTTTGTTTGATGTTGAGCTGCACGAGCTGCTTGTATATTTTGGAGATGAATCCTTTGTCAGTTGCTTCGTCTGCAACTATTTTCTCCCATTTTGAGGGTTGTCTTTACGTCTTCTTTATGGTTTCCTTTGCTGTGCAAAAGCTTTTACATTTCATTAGGTCCCATTTGTTTGTTTTTATTTCCATTTCTCTAGGAGGTGGGTCAAAAAGGATCTTGCTGTGATTTATGTCATGGAGTGTTCTGCCTATGTTTTCCTCTAAGAGTTTTATAGTGTCTGGCCTTACATTTAGGTCTTTAATCCATTTTGAGTTTATTTTTGTGTACGGTGGTAGGGAGTGTTCTAATTTCATTCTTGTACGTGTAGCTGTCCAGTTTTCCCAACACCACTTATTGAAAAGGCTGTCTTTTCTCCATTGTATATTCTTGCCTCCTTTATCAAAGATAAGGTGACCTGATGCATGGCTGGGTGGGGCTCATCATGGTGGTGGAGAACCAGCACCCCAAGCCTTACCTGCACGTGCAATGCTACTGCTCAGACAGCTTCAACGTGGTGTCCACGCGTGGCAGCCTGTGCACCCAGGACAGTGTGCCGGCTTCTCCATCACCCACCGCCTGGTGCACTGCAAGGCGGCCCAGGCCTCCCTCAGTGACTGGACGGCCTCCAAGGGCAGCCACAGCCCCCCATTCACGCCCGAGGTCGCTGGCCTGCATGGGCCCTGGCCGCTGTGACCACCCTGCCTGCCCCCATACGTACTTTACGAAGGAGACCCCAACTCAGGATGCTTGAACCAGAATCTCAGGATCCCCACCCCGGGAGTGCCAGCGGCATGGCGCAACTTCTCCTGGGCCTTCCTTCCTGCCCCTCCCTCCTACCCAGGGCCTCATAGCCACCAAGCAGAATACCTCGAAGCGGCCTCTAGCTCGAGGGAGCTGTGTGCCAGCTCCTCTGACCAGCCCACCTTGAGGTCTGGCTCAGAGTGTCAGGGCCAAGGTAAGGCTGCCCCTTCCCATGGCCTGGGGCCTCCTGCCTGGGTGAGGCAGCCAAGAGCTCCATTCACAAAACCAAATCTGGGGGGTCAGAGGCCAGGACCCTGGGGTGAGCAGGGACCACCCCTGCACCTTGTGGGGTCAGGCGAGGACCCCAGGTGAGAAAAAAATCCCTTTTTTGGGGGGTCAGAGGCCAGGACCCCAGGATGAGAGCAAGGACAACCCTCTTGGGAAGGTCAGAGGCCAGAACTCCAGGTGAGAACAGGGACCACCCCCTTTGTGGGGCACGAGGTCAGGAGCCTTTTCTCCCCAGTTTGCCCCTAGGTCCCATCTCCCCCCAAGCCCTCATGAGGCAAGCAGGGGTTCCTGGAGGCCCAGCAGTGTCCCAGGAGGCAGGTGCCTGGTGACCATGGGCTCAAGCAGGGGTGGGGAGGGACACTATGCTATTCCTGGAGTGCCAGCCAGGATCGAAGCCATGCCCCATGCTGGGGTTGTGGCAGTGGGTCAGGTGGACCTGAGCCCGGGCCCAGCCCTGTGCTTGGTGAGGGGGCTTGTCCTCAGCATCACCTGACCTCTGCTGGGAGGAACAGAGTCCAGGAGAACTCCTTGGCCAGCCCTGTCCAGGCACATGCAGGGTGTAGCCCCTCCCAGCCCCGCCCCACCTCAGAAGCCCAGCGTCCTCACTGTGGCTGCTCAGCCCTGAGTTCTGTGTCTGCCCCAGGATGACTGAGGCCGGCTTCCTGGGCCACCTGGCCTCACTGCCCTGCAGCCCCTAGGCAGCAGGTGGCCAAGTCTATGGCCTCTTGCTTCCCATGGGGCTTGCAGAGGGGTGGGTTTACACCTGGAGAAGCACCCAAGAGCACTAGACTCCACTTTGGGCCTCCTTTATATTCCTCCTTCTACTCTGAGCTGTGGGTATTTTTAACCCTGTACATACGGGAGCTCTTCTGACACAGAGGCTATTTTATCAATTGTCAGTACCATCCCTGTAGGATGATTCTCCATGGGTGTTTCCAGACCCAGGCTCCAATGGACCAGATAAAAATGTTTTGTTTTGTTAAAAAAAAAAAAAGGTGACCGCATGTGCGTGGGTTTATCTCTTGGCTTTCTATCTTGTTCCATTGACTGTATTTCTGTTTTTGTGCCAGTACCATACTGTCTTGATTACTGTAGCTTTGTAGTATAGTCTGAAGTCAGGGAGCCTGATTCCTCCAGCTCCGTTTTTCTTTCTCAAGATTGCTTTGGCTATTTGGGGTCTTTTGTGTTTCTATAAAAATTGTGAAATTTTTTGTTCTAGTTCTGTGAAAAATGCAATTGGTAGTTTGATAGGGATTGCATTGAATCTGTAGATTGCTTTGGGGAGTATAGTCATTTTCATAATGTTGATTCTTCCAATCCAAGAACATGGTATATCTCTCCATCTGTTTGTATCATCTTTAATTTCTTTCATCAGTTCTTATAGTTTTCTGCATACAGATCGTTTGTCTCCTTAGGTAGGTTTATTCCTAGGTGTTTTATTCGTTTAGTTGCAGTGGTAAATGGGAGTGTTTCCTTAATTTCTCTTTCAGATTTTTCATCGTTAGTGTTTAGGAATGCAAGAGATTTCTGTGAATTAGTTTTGTATCCTGCTACTTTACCAAATTCATTGATTAGCTCTAGTAGTTTTCTGGTAGCCTCTTTAGGCTTCTCTGTGTATAGTATCATGTCATCTGCAAACAGTGACAGTTTTACTTCTTCTTTTCCGATTTGGATTCCTTTTATTTCCTTTTCTTCTCTGATTGCGGTGGCTAAAACTTCCAAAACTATGTTGAATAATAGTTCTGAGAGTGGAGAACCTTGTCTTGTTCCTGATCTTAGAGGAAATGGTTTCAGTTTTTCACCATTGAGAACGATGTTGGCTGTAGGTTTGTCATATATGGCCTTTATTATGTTGAGGAAAGTTCCCTCTATGCCTACTTTCTGGAGGGATTTTATCATAAATGGGTGTTGAATTTTGTCAAAAGCTTTTTCTGCATCTATTGAGATGATCATATGCTTTTGCTCCTTCAGCTTGTTAATATGGTTTATCACATTGATTGACTTGCGTATATTGAAGAATCCTTGCATTCCTGGGATAAACCCCACTTGATCATGGTGTATGATCCTTTTAATGTGCTCTTAGATTCTGTTTGCTACTGTTTTGTTGAGGATTTTTGCATCTATGTTCATCAGTGATATTGGCCTGTAGTTCTCTTTCTTTGTGACATCTTTGTCTGGTGTTGGTATCAGGGTGATGGTGACCTCTTAGAATAAGTTTGGAAGTGTTCCTCCTTCTG